AGAATTATTATCCCTAACAATAAATTTAAATACCAACCAAATCATGAATTTAGTTTCACGAATTTTAACAACACTCAACAAATTAAAATAGAAGTTTCTTCGACAATTTTCCAAACCAAATCAATTAATGATACTAGTCTCAACAACAAATGGTTTATCAATCATTCTAATAAAATAATTCTAGAATGTGTTTCTGAATTATTACAATTTGGTGATAGGTCTGCATTACCAGTAGAAAATAAAAAAGCGTTTGTGTTAGAGACGGTTAAAGATACTGAAAATAACATAAAAAAATTCGAAAAATCCAACAAGGCTAACATTCGGCACCACATCACAACATATCTTAACCATTATATCAATAACATTCATACTTTTAATTACATAGAACGCAATCTTCTTAACAAATCCTTAGCGGTTAAGAATTTTATCCGTAACAATCCTGACATCTTATTTACCCGAGCAGACAAAGGAAATTCCACTGTAGGGGTTTCCAGACATGACTATTTAAACAATATGCTCCAGTTATTAAATAATAAAGACACATACTTGCCAATAACTAAAGATCCTACTCGTTCTATTGAAAATTCTTTACGCAACATGTTAGACAGATGGGTTACACTAGGTTTTATTAATAATGACACTAAAAATTTTATTAAATCTAATGAGGCTCTTCTACCTAGAGCATATGGTGTACCCAAAATCCACAAACAGAATTGTCCATATTGTATTATTGTCTCTACTGTCAATAGTCTTCTGCACAACATAGCGTCATACTTACACCAATTTTTACAAAAAAGTGTACCTAATTCTCCGTTTTTTGTTGAGAATAGTTTCTACCTTTATAATACATTAAATGGCCTCAAGGTGGACAATGACATCATTTTGTGCTCATTGGATGTAACATCTTTATTCACAAATGTACCATTAGATCTTTGTTTGCATAGTATAGCAAAAAGGTGGAGGTATATCAGACTGCACACCAAGATAAGCATGCAAGAATTTTTAACAGCAATTGAATTTGTGATGACGTCGACATATTTTAATTTCAACAATAACATTTATCAACAAATTTTTGGCACACCGATAGGTTTAAAATCGACACACAATTGTTCGGTGTCTTCAGTCGCTTCACTGTTAAGAGATCGTCTGGCCCTGTTCCTGCGATATTGAACACTCTAGGCGACACGTTGCGATGACCATTACTGTATTATTTTGTAAGTTTGTAATCAACTTGTTATCACAGTGTTTTTCTATATAATGAAATTTCTGTTCTGTAGAATCGTTCAAATTTTGTAGAATCGCATTGAAAAAGACCTGATACAAAGGTCAAAAGCTTTACATTCAATAAAACTCATTTCAACAATATACACACCGTCATCTGTGTTTGCTTCAACAGTCATTAACAACACCTTCATATTTTTAATAAAATCTTGGAGCTGACTACACAACATTATTATTTATTTGTAGAAAAACATTTTTAATATTAGACGTGTTAAAATCTTTACACACATACATACATACATACTTACAACTTCATCATAAATTTCGCTATTTATTTTATCAAATTCCAAAAGACTTTTCAAAAATATAACGGGAAGACATTCTGGCGTGTCTGTTAAGTTCCTCTTTCTTGCTTTAGTCATTTGCTTTAACATCGCCAGAGTTTCATTGTATAAATATATATTACATATTATTAGACATTCATAGTTTTATATAAAAAATACTACTTATTATTACTATTTATTTAGTATTTTTGCAATAATAAAATACCTACTTTTGTTTGTGTTTTATTACATCAAAGCGTTCATTTAATTTTCTGTAAACAAGTAAATATTGTTATTAAATAAAAAAATCGTTTCAATTGAGTATAATTTTAGTACAGTTTCAATGTTATACTTTTATTACTTAATAAAACGTATTACTTTTATGTTATTTCAAGAAGTAATACTAAAAAATATATATTTTATTTATTTATTTCATACTCACTTGAATTCTTAAAAAATATCAACTTCGGATGGTGCTGTCAATGAGATATTCGAAGAACTTTGTACTAGAATATTGCTTTTTACATGGTATTTAACATTTGCTTCACCGTATGTAACAAACAAGTACTTGGTAATGGTTGTCGTGGTCCAAAGAAGGTTTTAACATTATTTAGTGTTACGTCCTGGCCCATGGATACGGTCGGGCTGTAGTGTGACGCAACAGTAAACGCGTCGTTTTCCATATCTCTCTTTACAGTGGACACGGAAGTCCCGCTGTGAGAGAGTCGAGCGAGTTTGTTTATATTTGTCGACAGGTCAACGGCGTACGCCGATCTTGCTCTGTCTAGCGAACACTCGCTCGTTGGTCCCTTTTTAGGTCTGAGACGCAAGTTTCATTTACCAAGGACGGGATCTAGCGATATTAACGAGGAAGTGAGAGTGGATTGTACGGAAAAAAAGATAACAAAGAATAAGTACTTAGTTTGACTCCACATATTACAAAGTAGTTATATTTATTGAAAAATCGAAATCAATGAATTAATAACAGACATGCAGAAATTAATACAATAAAGGAGCATATAATCGTTTCGTACCATGTAATCTACACGTTAGAACGCAAGTGTGAGAGAGAAAGAGAGTGCGAGTTCTTTAGTGTAGCCAACCTCTTAACTCATGTTTATACAACTTAAATCATCTTAGAGATTTGTATCTTGATAAATTCGGTTTTGTTTCATTTCTTAGGTTTCAATGGATTTAATGATAGGAATAAATTTGGATGTGTCATGATTCTAAAACTGATATTTGGAGATAAGCGGGCTTTGTTTGTTTCCGTGATTTAGGAAGGAGAAAAAAATAATTCGGACGCTAGTCACGATTAGAGTCGCGAACTGCCCTCCCGGCGAGGGTGGTCAAACGAGGAATTGACTTCTCGGCCGGTTGCTATTTACGACTGGAGTCGCGAACTGCCCTCCCGGCGAGGGTGGTCAAACGAGGAATTAGTTGCGAAGTGAGTTGGTTGCAGAGAAACAAAATAATATGCTGTGATGGAACCTCCGATTAAAATTTTGGATGGACTTACTACTTATTGCGGGCCCGTGATAAAAGGTTCTAGGCTGTTGCGGCGCAGTAGTTCACTCTTGGATCTTACATTCTGCACTCACTGTCACTCACTCGCTGTGGTGCTTCTAAAATCTGCGGCATTAACTAGATACGCCCCCCGAATGGGTTCCCACCTTGTAGTAGCTCCGAGGCGGGAGCTCGGAGCTCGCGGAGCGCTCGGTGCGCACGTGGTCTGGCCGCCTCGCAGCAACTACATAGAACGTTTATTTTGTTCCCAGCGGGTGTGCTGGTGGGGGCA